GTGTTATATTACAACACAATAAGTTAGCACTGAACATGAGGCAAATCCTTTAGCACAATGTGAAACAGTCAAATCAAACCTCTTCACTTCATAATTTTAAGTTAATTTAATATGTTTTATTATTAATCCAGTAACCAGAAGAAATAGTAGAATGATAAAAACAAGGTACCAGTAACACTGCATTTCCCTTGTATGCATTCTGTTCTGCAACAGTATTTTCACATCCTTATGATGGCAATGACCATCATCATCCATTCAGTATTCTTTCAAACATTCACATGTACCAGTAAAATACATGAAGCAGTCCTTTTACAAAAGTACACAACAGACACGTTGGTTGGAAAAAAAAAAACAATGATATAATTGATATATTTACAAGGTTTTTAGACCAATTTTAAAATATTAAGTAAAATCTGTGTGGAGACAGCTAAAACAAATATTTAAAATAATGCGGTGCAAAAAATACCAACATCAGCATCTGCTTCAGTGGCTGTAAATTGTACAATTTGTAAGTAATGCGCTCTTTATTATTCAAACCATAGTTTTACCACCCTCCATTACAGACCGTAGCCTCTGAAACATGTTAACAATAATAACAGTAACATATTCACCATGTGTTCAGGCTATGGTTACAGCTTTACAAGATAAAATCCCACATTAAGACACAGAAAAAGGCCCCTGCTCTCCAACATGGAGGACTGTGAGATAAGCATCTGGCTATTGTGACTGAAAGATACCTCAACCGACAGAAAGTCTTTACAGAAGCTGACAGTCTTGTTCAAATATTTGGGTTAGGTTAAGTAAGGGGCAATGTCATTAATGCTCGTAAATTAATGCTTAGCCATACAGCTCACATACATTTTTCATGGTCACAGTAACCGTTCATTGGCTGCACAAGCCACGGTTTAGGAAAACAATATTCTACTGCTAAACTGTGAATGAGGTGAGGAGGCAGTTTGCACGGTTTATGGTTTGGGACTCGTGTATTAGACAATCTTACAGGCACTCAAAACTTCTGTGACTGCTCACCTGACAAATCACATGGACCCCTTAGGGGCATCTTGGTGTAAGAGTCAAAACTGCAGAATCCCTTTCTGTACCATTGCTGACAAAATAAAAAACAAATGGAAAGCAACCGTAAAAATGAAAACAAACAAAACAAACAGTTACACAAATAGACAAAAAGCACCACAGAAAACGTGGTCTCAGTTCCCAGGTTGGTGCGACTTCTGAGTGTTACACCTTTTGTCCGATTGGCTGCGCTGGCCGCCGGCCTGACTTCATGCGGCTGCGTGCATACACCCGTAGGAAAAGTGCCAAGAAAACTACAGCGACACCAAAGCCACCTACTATGGTGACGGCGTGACCGTAGAGGAAACAGGAGAGGAGAATGGCAATGGCCTGCCGCAGGGTCATGATGATGGTGAAGACCGCAGCACCGAACTGGCTGATGGTGTAGAAGATGAAGAGCTGGCCGCATGCCGAGCACACGGACAGCAACACGGCATGAAAGGCAAACTCGGAGTGGCGTGTCATGAAGGCCAGAGAGTCGAAGAAGGCACCCTGCTCCAGCAGCGAGCCGACTGTGAAGAGGCAGGAGAACAGGTTAACCCCGAACATCATCTGCACTGACGACATCTTGTACTTGAACAGGTTGTCCTGCCAGTTGGAGGTGAAGCTGTCGAAGACGATGTAGCCGATGAGGATGACGATCCCGCTGAAGGTGGTGACGGTAGACGGGTGCTTGCTGGGAGTGCTGGACAGCAGGAACATGCTGACACCCACTGAGATAAGCACTGCGGTGAAGTACTCCCAGTATTCGTAGCTCTTGTGGGAGACGATTTTACCCATGAGCATGACAGGAATGACTTTGGAGGCCTTGGCCAGGACTTGAGTGGGAAAGCTGATGTACTTGAGGGCCTCGTACTGGCACCAGCTGCTCAGGATGTTGGAGAGCGAGGCGAAGGAGTACTTGTACATGGGTGCTCCGTGGCGAGGTTGCTTGAACAGCATGCACCACAGGCCTGACACGGTCAGAGCCAGGATACGGTTCATGAAGACCAAGAACTGAGAGTCCTTGAATTTCTCGCCCTCGTCTTCTGGAGTTGTCGCTCCGTACGAACGCGTCATCACCCTCTCCTGCAGGACTCCCCATGTCAGGTACGATACCTAAGAATAAGAAAACTTTAGCTCTTCAGGGGTAGACTTCATTTGATACTTTTCTGATCTGAGCACTGAAGTTGATTCCTGACCTTTGAGCTTAGATCATTTTGTTGCATTGGGTGGTTCAGCTTTCTTTTGGGTATTTCTATTCTATGCCACTATGATGGGCGATAAATTCATTAAATTAGAATTTACGCTTCGTAAAAATGGTTAAACCACAAAACTGAGATTTGAACTAAAAATGTTATAATGCAGGCATATAAATCACAAGGACAGCATATCACCCAGCTCTACAGACAGTAGGTCTGGATTTATTTAAGTCTGTTCTACTGCAATACTCATATGCCATTTGCACCATGAGAAAGTTATTGGTCGTCATAATCACTCCCCCTTCTCCATACAGGCTGTGAAGCAATCCCTTCCTAACTCAACTACACTATAATCAAGAAGGTATCTTAATCCTGGTAACTGCATGTTGGTTTATTGTGGGTGTTGTGTCCTGGCAACAATTTTACACCTAACTACCAGGATGTACGCCTCTGCCACTACTCTGCAAGGAAACACTGTACAGGGAAACACACCCAAAACTTAGGAAGACGCCTACTTAATTTGGCTAATTTAAAATCAGCTGAACTATAGTACATTTTTACACATCATTTTCTATTCCATAAAGAGTATTCACATTAAAAAAGGATCGCTTCGTAGCCAGTATGAAGAGGACGAATGGTTAGTGACCAAGTACTCTTTCGATGAACATGCGAGTATAGTACTGATGAACATGTTAGCAAATAGTTTCCTGGAGAACAATTATCATTCCTTCTCCTGTCTGGTTCCTTAGCTGCGTCAGAGTCAGTCGCTAACTTTGTGTGTCTGCTACTGGTGTGAGGCAGGTGGTGTTTAAAAAAACGCTAGAGCTGAGGGTAGAGATATCTATCCTAAATGTAGAGATGGATTTACATAGATGGTTACTGGTTTCTTACCAGCACCTCCCTTTATACAAACACCCCTGAAGCTCTTCTAAAATAGCAAGTGAGCTGAGAACAGACGGTGAGTTGAATCACACTTGAGTAAAATAAACATTAAAAAAAAACCTCCCTAAAGCTGCGCAAACAGAAAAAACATTGCATGATGGTATTACTGGGATTAGACCACATGTAGCTTTGTGTATATAATGACGGAAAGATCCCCACCTGAAGTCCAGCAGCACAAAAGATTAATTTGATAATCTGTCTGACTGACGAGCCCGATTCACCCTCGTTCCTGGGTGCAACTGACACGTCATCCAACAGGCCTGTTTTGGCCTCACTGCCAAACACACAGGTCTTTATGATAGGGAAGCAAATCCCACTACCTGAAAGGAAGGCAGAAAAAACATTAAAATAATCAATTCACTTCATATCAAGGGACTACGACTACAGGTTAGTAGTCAGCATACATTTCCAAAATAGATGTCAGTATAACACGAGCCCAAACCTGTTTCTAAGTAATTGGTGCGCTTGAAGTAGCTAATGAGGAGGTAGCCAGGGATGATGATGGTGGAGTATCCCAGCATGTTGACGAGGAAACGGAAGACCCAGACATCGTGCCAGCCTTCCAGGAGTGATGACTCTTCGGCAGCCACAGTGGAAGGGAAGAGAAGCAACACAAGTGCAGGCCAAACCCTACGGGGTAATACAAAATGGTACGTCAGGCCACATTGTGAAGTACACAACAACAAATCACCCTGAAGACTACAGTAATATATACTGTACATTTGACAAGCAAGGTATGTGTGTCTCTGCCGAGTGTACAGGTAAAATGTGCGACTGTAGTGCTGCAGAGATGCCCAGGCCTCCAAATCTTGTTCTGTTAGTCACGTCATCATAATTTAAAGGGTTTTTTTTGGACTGGGGCCCATCACTTGAACAGAGGAATGCAGCGTCATCTTGAAGCAGAAGCAACTGAAAAGCCAGACATGAGATGAATAATTATGGTGAGAGTGAAAGGACGCAGAGGCCAAGATATCCAGACGTTTAGTCCCCAGGCTGAGTCAAGCTTCAAAACTCTGGATCCTCACTTCCCACAATGCAACCCAGTAGCATCTTTCATGAGTCTCTTCCTGCCTGCAAATGTCCCTCTAACTTCCCCCAGTTTGTAAAGAAGGCTTCCTGGTAAAAGAATTCTCCAACGCTCCAACTACAGTCGACAAAATCCCAATGACGTCACTAGGGTTTTTATTTTTCTTTCCAGTAACTCTCTTTCAGTGGTACCCCATGTATTAAGGCTGAGTGCTTACCACAGCGGCCCAGGTTCGATTCCAGACTGCGACCCTTTGCACTTCCAGTCTATCTTCAACTATCCCTATCAAATAAAAGGTGTAAAAATAGTTATATACGAGTACACTATACAACTGTTTTCAAAACGGATGTATTCAGGAAAACTGGAGTGGAGTTCCCCACAGTTCCTATAAATGTTCCTCACTGGGCAAACGCGTCAAAAAAGCCTCCACAGGCTTCCTCACACACGCACGTCTTTCGACCCTATGGCATGTGCACCAGAATCCTTCTCTAGCCGAGCACGAATGGGTTAAAGTTATTTAATCACATGGCTCTTATAGACTTTGAAAAGGTTATTGAATCGAATGGAACAAATCCTGATACTATAGTAATTTCAGGTGGTTTAAGAGCCGCTACTTTTCCGGTGATTGCGTACAGGACGAATGCTTTTTGGGCCAGTGTGCGTCGCTTGATGACCACAGAAGCTGCAATACCCGCATGTAGACACTATGCTAGTACAGCTTCACAGTCCCCTCTGTCCCTGGGGGGGCTTGGTTATCCCAAGCGGAGCAGTAAAACCCACCTTCATGCATGCACCACATAGGCTGGCTCTACCTACAGAAAAGAAGATGTGGAGGATAGTTTGGAATCAATTATCTCGTAAAGCAACCTGTTCAACTAGCTGTGAAGAAATGAGATGAGCTTCATCGCCCACCTCCACAAATAGCTTAAGTAACATCGATGACTCATCACACCTGGTGGTGAAACCCTAGCTTCCCATGAAAAAGGTGTGCTCCTTGCTGTCGTGGCACAGAGTGTGTATCCCATTCAAAGTGGGGCTGGGCCTCCTCCCAGGGGGGCCTGAGAGCTGACTCACACAGAGCCTCTTTGTGTGGGACTCTGCTGTGGCCTGGCCAGCCAGTAGCCCACTGCAGCAAGACCTGGGCTCTGAACAAGCAGCTTATTACATGGAGGAATGCACTGCGCTGGCTGGGCAGCCAACCCACAGGATGCTACACCACAGGCACACACAGAGAGAGAGAGAGAGAGAGAGAGAGAGAGCTGCCAACATGTACCTGAGGAGAGAACGAGTGCATGTGTCTCGTATGAGCATATCACAGCAGATTATGTGGGCTTAAACTGAAACAACACAGCAATCCCTAGTTAAACGAGTAAATAAGGAGGGCCTAATCCCTCAAATAAAGCACTGGAAGGGTGTGGTGTGGACAAATGAATATAGGATATTATTAAATATAATATTTAACCTATATTTATATAGGAAACACATTAGTGCAAAGGGAGAAAGCCAAACTGGGTTTGCACCAAATTTAGTGAGCCATTAGACTCTATTACGTATATAGGGATTTAAATGCATCATATTATGTTAATACACGCAGTATTTTGATAAACAATAACAATATATGGCGTCCCCAGTAGTGTTTAAAGATGTTAAAGCTCTCTGGACGGTGCTGTAAACTTACACAGCTATCAAATAGTGACTCCATATCTAAATATCTGAATATAATGGGGTCACAGTTAATGTTATAAGCATGTGTCAGCCCTAAA